GTATATATATATAAAAAATAATAAATATGTATATATGATCTATATATACATATGGATATATATATATATATATATACCTTTTTATATATGAATATACAATATATATATATACATTTTTATATATATATATACACACACATATATATATACACACACACACACACACATTCAGTTTTCCCAGTTTTCACTAAAACCACCTCTGGACCATCTGCTCCTCTATTCAGCAGTGTCTATGGACCGGTGCCTGGCTCTGGAGGTCATTGTGTGAATGTGTGTGTGTGTGTGTGTGTGTGTGTGGGGGGGGGGGGGGGGTGGGGGGGGGGCGGTGCGTGCGTGTGTGTGTGTGCGTGCGTGCGTGCGTGTGTGTGTGTGTAAAAGAGCGCGCGTGTTCCTTTGGATGTGTTGGTGATTTACTTTCACTATGGGCTTCAGACTTCGGATGAAAGAAAAAGAAGGTGGGACACTTAGAAATGTAGTGATCGTTTATATTTATAGGATCTAAATTAACCCTTTATGCGCCGCAGCTCTTTCCTCTTTTTTGTGTTGTTAAAGTACAACATGCATTTAAGCTGAATGTTGATAAGTACAGTTCATGCAGTGAAAAGACTGACAAAAATATTCAACATTCATTCTGGCAAAGTTTTTAATTTTTCAGACATTTCATGTTTTAGTTGGTTGATTTTGGTGGTTGATTGATTTACAAATGAATAGTTGCGGAACAAAGTCCTGGATGTTGTAATAGCGTCATTCAAATATGAGCAGATTTTCAACAGTTTCAAATTTAATATTATACAGTTGCTAATTTCCACATTCAGTTTGAAAAGTTTGCTCCCATTTATCTTCATTGCTACTTGAAGAGTGCAGTTTGGCGCTTCATCTGCGAGACATCTGTTTCCAAAGTGGTTAATGGAAAAGGCCAAATTAACATTTAGGCAAGAAATGTGGAGCTGATACGAAGGACTGTAGAACAACAAATATAAGTGGCTATATATATTATCTGATTAGATTTCCATGATATCAGTCAGAGTCCAAAAGTTTCCAAAGCATTTTAAAATTTCAGACCTTCTCCGCTAAATACTATTGTGCATCCACTTAAATGACTTTGCTCAGCTTTAGTGAGTCTGCGAAACATTGACATTCAGCTTCCTCGGCAGGAGACAGTAGCTTACCTTGAGCTTACCTTGGCACATGTGTGGTTGTAGCGATCTTCTACAGCTGACTCATGAAAAAGAATAATAATTCAATTCAGTTGTTGCTTTGTTAAATTTGATCCCAGAGTACATTCATCAACTTCTGCACTTCTGTGTCCGATGCCATGCAGCAGAATCAGTATCACGAAGATTAAGACAATAAATTGCATTTCACTCTCAAATCCACTGGACTTGATGTGCTGTAACCAAATTACGTCTGCAGACATTAGACTAAGTGGAATCTCATTTTTCGCATATCACTGTTTCGAACGACACGACAACCTCGCCAGACTTCATAACCTCTTCATAACCTCTTCCATATAGAAATAGTATTTTGGTATGCCACATTAAAATGTTAATTTCAGTGGTCTGTGTGAATTATTGTGTTCACATTGCTGAGATCTCCCGACTCTGCAAGGATGGACGCTGTTGAGTCAGCATTTGCATTTTAGCTTCTGCTAAGCAGAGAGCACAATCTAATGCTAGCTAGCACTAGCAGTTTAGCTAATGCTAGCCGAACTAAGAAATTGTTCATAAAGTCAAAAGGGAATATTTAACAGAGTGAAGACAAAATACTTGAAAGTCATGTGGGGTTCTTGTTGTTCTTAAATTGATGTTGATTTAATGTTCTACGTACAGAATATTAATCTTGCTCCATGTATTCTTCTGTTGGTCATTTTTTTCTAGTAGAAAGCAAGTGGCCGAAATAAATACTCAGCCAGACTGTAGATAAAGTGAAAAAACTGTCTTCATTTTAAATGGCAATATCAGAACAAAACACCTAATTGTTGCAAATACACTTGATCTACATCAAGGTAGTTGCAGATTAAGCAAGCTAATTTCACCAGTCGGATAAGTCTCCAATCTTTTTTATGTTTTTGACAATGAAATGCAATACAGCATGAACTGCTTCACATATGAATCAGGAAAGGTTTTTGTTCTTGAGTATGTTGGGTTCTTCTGGGTATACGTCTCTGCTGGGACCATCAAAGTAAATTCCTAACTCAGTATTAAGAAACGTTGTGGGTGAAACGTTAGAAGTTAGTGAGCGAAAGCTTTGAGGGTGGCTGAGAGAGCGATGGGAGCGACGGATATAAAGCATCAGTCAAAGTGTGTTTGCATGCTTTTTTACGAGCATACACGCTGCTTCCCGAACGCTCTGTGATTCCCAGTTTACGCTTCTCTAATTAAATGCTGGTTAACTACAACATTAATTCACCCTCCACCTCTTTCTCATGATATGTCTCTCACTGCATTGTGTTGTGTTTTTCTACTTTCCCTCCTTTTTGTTTTATTTCTTAACCTCTGACAACATGTACAGCTTTTTTTTACAGATCAATAAGTCAGAGCCAGTGTGAAGTGTCTGCTTCCAAATGCTTATTATACCACTTGGATGCTCAGCACTGCACAGTGGCAAACCGTCCATCACATTATGTCTGCCTCACTGATCCTCCACTCCACAGTTTGGGTCTGCTGTTGCATAGAGAAATTAGGAATTATTAAATAAATAGTCTTTAATAAATATTTTTTTAAAAATTTAAATATGCAGCTGAAGCAAAATAGCATGCCATTGCTAATCATGTCATTTAGCCAAGAGTGATAAGTATTTTATTAGCAAAATATGATGTATTAGAAATATAATAAACTGAAAAGATTGGACCGAAGAAGATCTTATTTTCTCTTTGGGGAAGACGAGCAAAAGCAGAGATGGGACAGCTTAGTTCCCTTTAAAGTGCTCCGCTTCAAGCGGTTTTCTAAATTAAGTGCCACTGTTAGCGGCTTGCTCCTCTTCAGTGTGTTGTCATACAATTAGGGAGATGTCTAATGTCCACTGAGGTTGCTTTTAAAGATAATAGAGTTACCTAAAACTTCTACGCTGAAACCTAGAAAAACATAAATTTCCTCCCCCAATAAAACGTCTTTTTTAATGTAGAAACGTTGACAGTGTGATGTCTGACAACAGATGGAGCAATTATGAGATAGATTAATGTTGAATGTCTTTGTGATTTTTATTTTATTTTTTTTTAATTGTAATTCCCCAGTTATTCAGGCTGCAGTCCTGAGCTGAGCATTTACATGTAAAGCACCGGTTAGGAGCATGTAGTGAAGGATATTGGAAGGGGAAGTCGTCTGCTCATTTTGAGCCACGGTGCCTTTGGTTGAAGCTGCCAGTGTCCGTTCATGTAAGGTTTCTTCCCTTTTTTTGGCAACATCCCAAATGCATGGCATAAGTTCAGCTGATAAATCCACGGGATTAAATGATTTGTCCCCTCTCAGTAGGGACTGAGAAACCAACTTGCTAAAGTGCCCTTCATCATGCTGTGCCTGGAAAAGTGCCTTTACGCATCGTATTATTTGATGATTGTTGTGAGTGTTTGGTTTAATTCGTTATAACTCCCACTTCATAAACCGTAATTCTTTCAGCTTTGCTAAAAGGGCTCTTTATTTAATTTCATTTCCTATCATGCCCTTGAGTGAAGCACAAGCGCTTATCTAACTCCACCAAGCTGTTTAATCAACTCATTTTGTTTTTCCCTCTTTGAGTCGCAGGCTGAGTGACTGACCCTTTTCGCTTCAAGGGCAATGATATCAGCTGTGACCAAAGCACTTTAAAGCTGTAAATTGCAACAATTCTTTTCATTTATGGATGCAAATTTTCCAAAGACAAATGATTTGGTTGCTAGAAAGAGAACAAAAAAAAAGACTCCAGCCAAAAATAGATGTGTCCGTCTATCCTAAAATAAAAGTAAGACGAGACTTCAACGTCTCCAACGGGTAATTTGATTTACAGACGTTAGTCTGGTCAGGTACTAAACATAAAAGATAAATTTCAGGCTAAAATGATTAATACCTTTGCGGGATTTGGGTTCAAAGCAATCTTTTGCTTTGATCAAAATGTTGGTCAAATTAATGTTGTGGATCGGTCCCCACTTTTAAGTCTGATGCCTTCGCTTCATTTTGAGCTAAAGGTCAGGATGTTGGCAAGGAGGCGTTTCAACCTCAAAGACTTGCAGCTCATCAAAGATAAACTATTTAAAAACCTGTTGGAAACAGGCAAAAAAAAAAAACTCCTTACTCATTATAAGGAGGATTTGATTGCTGTCGTGCTAATAAATGTTTTTACACTGTTGATTGAGTGAGGTATAGATACATTTTGATGTATTATTTTTATTTATTTTTTTTTGTCTTATTAAAATTTCTGATTTCAGAATTTAACTTTTTTCTGTGAATTGACCGTTTCACTTTCTGGAATGACTGGCAGGGAATATTGCACTTTTATGCGACATCTTTTTCTTAGATATAGTGGTCCACTGGTATACTTGCTGTGTTGGTATGTTTGCGTTAGTCCAAACAGGACTAAATTTAATACAAAGTCTATAGAAAGAGCTTTCAAATATCTTTTTTTGACCAGTCTGGTTGATCTAATGCTTTCTTTAGAAGAATAATGTTGAAAACTGTCAGTTATTCATCTTCATTTGACACTCGTGCAATAGTTTTTGTTGGTCTCTCAAGCACATGTTTGCGTTTACGGCATTCATGTAAAAAATTACAAAAACAGTTCAACGTGACTATGAATATGTTTTCAAAAGGCATGGTGTACAACTGCTCTGTTCGCAAATCGACACTTCAAAAGCATCTTTGCTTTCCAAGGAGAAAAGAAGTGTGTGTTTGCGCAAACTTGTGTAATTATTGAACAAAGCCAGCAGAAATCTTCCTATCATTGTCACTGCAATTATGTCCGGTGACAACGATACCAGAAGGTTCTTTCTGCTTCTGGAGTGACTAAAATCTGTTTGTTGATTTTTACAGACTAGAGTCCCCAACTCGGACCTTGACGCTAGAAGCTCCCAGGGGGGTAGAGGTCAGTGCTGGAGTGGGAGACTTCACGGCTTCCTGTAGGAAAGACCTCCTCTTGCAGTCCTCAGACGGAGAGGTCAGTTTGTGTTTACGTTTGTTTCGGATGTATACTGGGAGGATAAGGTCTTCTGCAATAAAACCCTACAGCTCAAATGCTCACAACAGCAGTGTTGGAAGTTGAAAATGCAGGGAAATGTGAGAATGTTTGTGGTACCGTGTGTGTGGGCAGTAGACTGTGTTGCACTCTATTGTAGTGGGCCAGCTTCATTAAAGTACCTTATTAAGCTAATGAGCGTTATCAATCCAAGTGACCTTGTCCTCCTTTCCTCCCCTCCTCCTCTCATCGCTGCTTTCTTGCTCTCTTCAATTTGGGAGAAGTGACTTCATTAAAGTTGGTTTGATGAGGTTCCCTGTCAGTTGTTGCTGCTGCTGTGTGTGTGTGTGTGGGTGTGTGCGCGCGCGTGCTCGTGTTTGTGTGTCATTGTTAGCCTGTTATCTCACTGTCAAGCTCGTCGCATAGCAGCCTGCCACTTTTTGTGAGCGCCAAAGCAGACTTTGCCATTATCTCTATGTGTGTTCATAAGTGTGTGAGTGTATGTGTGTGTCAACCTGCCATATTGCTTGTCCACTGGAGCATAGTGTGTCATTAACTTAGTAATTAACAGAAGAATGACCCCCCTCCAGTTGCACGCACTGTCATTGTCAGTCACACACAAACTTTTCTTTTTTCGTTTTTTTTTTTTTTACAACCAGCACACACACGCATTCTTATAAACACTGTAATGCAGTAACGGAAAACACTCAAGTCTTTATTCATCCGTCCGGGAGGCGTTTCAAAACCAGTCGTCAGATAAAAGCTGAGTAGACTCAAGACTTGCACATGTTAAATGTCAAAGAAACCTGCCTTAACTGCAGAATTCACAAAAGGTTTCCTTCATCTACCGTGTATTTGTAGAGTATCTGATCTCATAAAGAGTATTTATTGTACACACTATCACATACGAGGTATGCAGTGACAGCTCTTTAGTTTTCCTTTTTTTTAATATAATATTTTTAAACATTTTTAGAAAAATTGATATTTTTCTGTTTCTCAGCTACTGGACTGACCTTTGTCAAAGTGTTTTTATTGTTTTTGTTGTGCTGTTCTACTGCTACATTAATTTTATTTTCATCTCAAATGTGTGCAAAACTGTGTTGTAAATTTGTGAGAAAAGCGTGTGCACAATTTCACAATTAAATTAAAAAAACACACAACTAAAGGACACATGCATAATTTTGGTCACATGATTAATCATAAAAAAAAAAAAAGAAAGAAAACATTCGGTGCCATCATCTTCCTTCCTAATACTTCCTGTCGTCTTCATCTTTTCCGCCAATGGTAACGTCCAGTTGTTGGGGACATAACCCGCGTGATGTGAAAAAAGTGTTTTCCGACTAGAAATCCTATAGTGCATTACTAGCCATCATCCATACCTGCTTGTATCTGGAGGGTTGCTTATCACCCTCACCTGCTAGAAAACCCATCACTGATACTTAAAATGTGAGGGGATTTAATTGCCCTGGTGAGTTTTCTTTAATCTTCTCTAATTTTTTTCAGGATGTAAAATGTTTTAAAGCATTCTTATCAACATTTATTGTTTTCCTTCAACCCTGCTCTTAAAAGAAACCCTGTGTAAAGATGGATTCAGACTACTTTATAGGCTACAGTGTCCTAGGTGTTTGAAATGTTAGTAGCATTTTGAAATGAAAACATGTTCAAAAATTGATTTACCTCTGCACATTTCTCTCCCTGCTTAATTATCTTGCTGTTTGTCATCTCCAGTACCTTGCTTTTCCCCTCCAACTTTCCAAATTCTCTCACCCGACTCATTTTTGTGTCTCTCTTCTCTTCTTGGAGTCTATAGCATTCCTTTCTGGATGATTTTGTCAACCTCTCTTTCTCATCCACTCCATCTGAGCCTCTCGGGCCTTCATCTTTCCAAGAGTTATCTAATTAACTTTCCATTGCCAGGGTTATACATCACTAGAGCTCTCACTTCACAAGGAAGAAGGGAGCTTCATATGTATATTTTTGCCTTCTCTTTATGCTTTGTCTCATTGGCATTTGTTCGACCATCATCGTTTTCGACTTTTGATGTTTTTCCATGTTGTCTATGCATAAATCACTGGCTCCCCACTGATGAGGAACAGTGGCATCAAGCACAGCTCAACAAGGGGTTGCGGTGCGGGCCTCCGACGAGGCTTGAGATCATGAAAGGCGTGAGAAAATTAAGCATTTATAGTGCTCTGCTTCTCAACCCCTGCTCCCTTTTCTACAGCGCTCTTCAGCCACACACACACACACAAAGAAGCCTGTGATCACCAAGGCACAGCTTCATAAATGCCAGGGAAGGCTTATCAGCATGGGTAAACGCATTCACAAAAAGGCTCATATTACTACAGACAAATACAGAAAGAATCATCAAAATTTGAAAATATCCTGACCGTTGGTATGCAGCTTGTGTCTGATTTTATAAGAAAATAAATAAATCTAGAGTGTGGTAGAAAAACCATTTGCATTCACTTGATTTCATTATTTTGTTTGTCTGTAATAAAATAAAAAGCTACTGAAAATGCACAGAGAAATCACCTGTTGCCCAGAATTCAACAGCCTCACCCATGGCTAGCTTGTCACAGCTAGCCGCCGATAGCCGGTGCTCACTGACAGATTTAGACATCTATTTATAGCACTAGAGAATATATATTAATAAATGAGAATATATAGATGTGTTTATAGAAAGAGTCTTGGATCTTTGAGATCAGCTCGTGACAAAACGGGAGGAAAAACAAAAGTGTTGCATTTTGTGTTTTTGTTCAGTGCACGTAGTTTTTCCATTTTATTGCAGGTCTTCATCATCAGTTATTGATCTCTGAGTTTGAAAATACTGTGGTCATTTAAAAAGATGATTACACTGAGAAAAGCAATGATAAAGAAATAATATGAGAAAAACAATCATTAAAGAAAAGAAGAAGTCACTTTAGTTGCAGGCAGAGAGGCAGAAAAATGTCAATGGTATACCACTTTACAAACAAATTGGATCTCTACCATTGAAATTTAGAGATTCATGACATCATCATTTAAACTGTTGCCTGTTTAAAGTGTTTCATTTTTGAAAATAGGTTTTCCTCTTTTGCTTAGAAACCCCCATCTGGTGAAACATTTAAGTCTTTATCACTTTGTTTCAGCATGAATGTGGTTTGTGCATAGTTAAATTTGGGGGTTCCACTGCTTAATGTTGTAAATTATCGGAAATAGCTTTTCACATACAATGTGCAAAATGTGGCCGTTTTTATGAAGCAACCTCTAGAATATTAGCAACGTTTTCGGGAAGCAAACAGGTCACTAATCAGCTAACATCTCACTAACGGGGAAAAAAAACAAAAAAAACAAAAAACAAAGGGAGATTGAAGTCTACATGTAACACTTGGCAGTGATACTTTGCATGATTCAAATTTTTCTCAATTTTTGCCTTTCATTTCTTTTTAGCTTTGATTTGAAGTTTGAAAATTTGTTCCAACGAAAACAACAAAACAAAAACATTAAGTCATAAGGGAACATCAAACACAGGAAAACTTCAAAACTCATAAGAACTCATCCCTCATGCAGAATATTAAGCATTCCCTTTTGTTCATTTTTTTTAAATTATGGACAAAAGGTTCATGCTAGGCTTTTCTTTGTTTGACTAGATGAAAGATGTGGCATCATAAAATATAAAATGTTCACACAGATGCACATGTACTCTAGTTCTCTTTGTTAGTCTTCGTTAAAGGTTCATGTAGAAAATGTTTTTTTTAATTTATCACTCATAGACTTAGTACGGTTGTTCATTTGATAAGTCTGTAAAAACAGGTCATATATTTATAGATTTTTCATTTTTATTCGTCCAACTTTCTTAAAATAAACTTAAAAGTATATTTTAGTGTTTTGAAGAGTGCTTGGGGGGTTTATATTTTGTTGAAAAAAAGCTAATAACCTCTTGACTTGGGTCAACAAGGACATAACGAAAAGCAAAAAAAAAAAGATGGATGTAAAAAAGATGAATAACCAAAAAGGGCTGTGCATTCATCATATTGTTTATAATTTCTCATGAGCCTTTTGTTTGTTTTATAAGGATTTGAAGATAAATTCAAATCAATGTTTAAAACCTCCCAGAACTGTCCATATTGCTGGAATTTAAAAACATATTGAAATATGATTACTTTGATACAAAACACACTTCTTTGTGTTGCTGCTGTCCTCAAGAAGCATATTACAAATGGTGTGTTTTTCAATCGCCAACTTCCGTGTTTGTAGTAATGTGACTGCTGTGCCATGCAGACACAGTCATGCAGTTACCTAAAACAGAAGTAATACTATCATATCAAAATATTATGATGAATACTTAAGGCCATATTGCTACGACCAATAACGTCCACAGATTTTTTTGAGCGATATATTATTTTGATGCTGTATTGCTACACACACAAAGCAATAAATAAACACACTTTTACCGACTGCAAAGGTTTATATTTCTGAGTTCAGACCATATTTGTGTAAAAGAAGAAGCAATAATAACACCCAGACAGTTCCCTCCCCGAAAAAAAGGAAAAAGAAAAAAAAAAAACACACACACACACCTTATCGAAATAGCTTTCTTTTCATCTATTCTCATACACGCCTCACTCGACCGCTGACGCCGTCACATAAACGGAGGAGAGCGGATGAAGGCTGGATAGAAGGAGGATCAGATTAGTGGGAGGTGGAGAAGGATGGGAGAAAATAGATGTTTCTGTCGATTTTGCAGGAGAAAATAAAGGCACGCAGGACAGCAAAGCTTAAAGCCAAATCAATGTTGTCAGCAGCTGGCACTTAAGAAGGGACCATTAAAGTTTAAAAAGTTTGGAAAGCAGCAGTGGAATTAGGGCCAAATGGGTTAGAGGTAGGCTAGTGCTGGCTTCCATTAAAATCAAAGCCAACCAGAGCTGACAGATCCTCTCAGGCTTTTTTTTTCATTATTCTCTCTCTCTCTCTCTCTCAGTCTCTCTCTCTCTCTCTCT